CCCCCGCCCCCAAGCCTGTAGCTTTGCATGGGGTTGTTGTGACCCAAGTGCAGGACCCAGCACTGAACCTTGTTGCACCTCATACAATTGGCCTCATCCCATTGCTCCAGCCTGTCCAGATCTCTCTGTAGAGCCTTCCTCCCCTCCAGCAGATTAACACTCCCACCCAGCTTGGTGCTGTCTGTAAACTGACTGAGGGTGCACTCGATCCTCTTGTCCAGATCATTGATAAAGATGTTAAACAGAACTGGCCCCAACACCGAGCCCTGGGGAGCACCACTTGTGACTGGCCCCCAGCTGGATTTAGCTCCATTCACCACCACTCTTTGGGCCCAGCCATCCAGCCAGTTTTTTACCCAGCGAAGGATACTGCTGACTGGGCCTGATCACCTGGTTGTCCTGTACCTGCTGTGTGATGGCACGCAAGATGATCTGCTCCATAACCTTCCCTGGCAGTGAGGTCAGGCTGACAGGCCTGTAGCTCCCTGGATTCTCCCTTGGCGGACCCTTGCCCCTCCCTTGGCAGTGCTCAGGGTGGCCCCTTCCCCACCCAGACCCACAGGTTTGCCAGCAAAAGTGGGACATACCACTCCATCGCTCCGAGCCACTCACAGGTGGCGAAGCAGCCACTGCTTTTGATTTTCCTGCCAGAAGCGAAGCAAGTGTGTCACCTACCCCATCAAGCTGTACGCTTGATAAACTTGCAAGCGGAATTCTCTCAGCTGTCTTCTAAACCTTCCATGCAGAGTTTCCGAGGGTATTGAACCCATTACTTCAAAATAGAAAAGTGCAACCCCTTTTGAGCCGTTTCCAAGAACAAGGGGTCTATGTCAGGGAATCCCTGCTGCTTTGGGGCAGGAGATGTCAGGAGAAGGATTCTGCCTGTTGGAGCTGATGCTTCTGCATTGCAGCAGCCCAGGGAGAAGGCGGGAGGCACCCTGTCCCCAGGAGAGGAGAGAAGAGAGAGTTTTCCTGCCTTCTTTCTTTCTGCTCTTCCAAAGAGCTGTCATCCTGCTCTTGCTCTGTATTGCAATGCCACTAGAAAAAGCAGAGTAGTGGAGGAATCCTCCTCCTTTTCCCCAGGGCTTTCCCTGTGTCTTGGGCCACCTTCTCCTGTGCCTGGCAGAGGCTTCTTCCTACTCATTTGCATTTAGGTGAATGCAAACTTTTGTTGCCTTGCCTTGAATGCTGTTTCCTTACAGTCAGCAGCCAGCGACAAGACAACAAAGACCATAAGGACATTTCTGCAGGTGTCAGAGGTGCCCAGCTGGAAAGCTTCCCAAACGGGGCACTGGGATGCCCAACACTGCAGCCGTCCCCGCTCCTCCCTGGGCACCCACTCCTGGGTGCAACTGCACACAGCAGGGCCCTCTCATTGCCCGCAGCCCTTCAACACAGCTTTATTGACTTCTGGGCTCCGCAGGCCCACCACCACTGGCTCTGGGAGTGAAAAGCAACAAGTGCTCTTCTGCAGTTTCTCCTGTTGCTGCTGCCTTCTGCCAGGACACCATTTTCAAACAGCGCCGTGATGTCACCGCTACGCATCACAGTGCCCCGTCAGAAGATTCCACTGGTGCTGCAGTCAGCTGGCATCAGTTGGGCTTTGGCTGCTGATGGCAGGACAAGGCCTGGCTGTGCAGGGCGACGGCCACTGAGGGAAACTTTAGTCTGGCTGGAGCAAAGGAAATGCAAAGAAGGGAGCCATCTCCCACAGAAACACCATCCCTCTCTGCTCCGGATGAGATGGGGCCATCGCCAGACACCACTTCTCCTGACCCTCCAGGACAGGCAGAAAGAGCACCCTGTGACACTGCCGTACTAGCGATGAAGGAGGAGCAGGCTGTCCAACCTGGCAGCGACGGACACAAGATCAAACAAGTCCCTCTGGTTTCCTGTGAGAGCATGGACAAAGCCAATGAATTCACATTCCTCTGCTTCCCACAGAAGCTTTGGAAAATGGTGGAAGGCAACCAGTTTCGGTCCATCTGGTGGAGTGCGGGTGGAAAATGCGTGGCCATCTATGAAGAACTCTTCAAAGAGGAGGTGCTTGGCAGGGAAGGACCTCTGCGGGTTTTTGGCACGCAGAACATGAAGAGTTTCCTTCGGCAGCTCAATGCCTACGGCTTCACCAAACTGCCAAAGGATTTCCAAAGATCTGCCTCCCTGCCTGAATTCCTGGCAGAAGAAGCAGCAGCTTCTGCTCACAGCAAGGTACAGCAGTTGTTCTCCACATCCACTAACGCTCACAATAGTCTTGGGGGAGAGATAGACCTTCGCATCAAATAAGGCCTTGCAGTAGAGGAGACGGGGATGGTAGCGAGCGCTCTGGTTTTAATTTCCTTCTCAGATTGTTTTCAGGAAAGGCTGAGTTAGTCTTTCTGACTAGTAGAAACGCAGATAAAATACAGGTCAGTTACAGCCACTGAGTTTGAACCCGTTAAATGGAAAGACAGAGTCAGCGTAACCTCATTGCTCTGAATGTCTTTGCTACACGTCTTGCTGCACCAAAGCTGAAACCTTCCTGTGGCACCTGTTGATTGCCGAGAAGCTACACCTAGGGACCATGGTATTACCTGCCTGCTCATAGGCACACTGAAAAGTCATAGCATTTGGCTTTCAAAAGCAGTGCTTATGCTTTTGAAAATCCTATGCTGCTCTGTTCCCAGATGGCTAAAACACAGGGCTGACAACTGAACAGAACTGTCATGTAACATTTTAACCTGAGCTTCAGGTTTCAAACCTTTTGTATACCCATGCTCATCTTCTGCAATTCAGAGCCTTATTTCACCTAGCTTGGGGTTTTGCAGTCTTGAAATGGTGGCAACTAACTCTTCTCCTTTGCTTTTTTTAGATACTCTACTACTACAACCCCTACTTCAACAGAGAGCATCCCGACCTGCTGCAGAGGTGCAGGAGAAGCGTTGGCCTCAAACGAAGAGCCCCAGATGCCCCAGAGGTGGATGAAAGGCCCCCCTCCAGAAGACCAGATGCCCAGTCTGCAGGGGACACGCAGGCATCTCCACCCACGACGATCGTGCCCACCAAGCAACAGGCTGAAGCACCTCCCAGCCTTGGCAGCACCCAGCTGTCTCCACCAGCAGCTGCTCCCACCCTTCTGGAGCCTGCCGGAGCAGCAAGCAGCCAGAGCTTCATCCCTCTGGCCCAATCCTTTCTAGCACCAGCCAGCGGCCAAACCCCAGATGACCTCCTGCTTGCTGGTCAAGGTGCTGCACCATCTGCAATGGTCATGCTGGCAGCAGTCTCAGCTCTGCTGGCAGCACCCAGCTGTCTCCACCAGCAGCTGCTCCCACCCTTCTGGAGCCTGCCGGAGCAGCAAGCAGCCAGAGCTTCATCCCTCTGGCCCAATCCTTTCTAGCACCAGCCAGCGGCCAAACCCCAGATGACCTCCTGCTTGCTGGTCAAGGTGCTGCACCATCTGCAATGGTCATGCTGGCAGCAGTCTCAGCTCTGCTGAGGTCAAGGCTACCCCATGGCCAAAGCCAAACAGTCCCCCACTGCCCCACCTGCACCTGCAGCCCCAACACTGCAGATGCAGGCAATGCCGTTGGTCCCCAGCACGGCACATCCTAGAGAGAGCCAGTAGCCAGCCAATAGCATCCAGTAGCATTGTTAATAAATAGAGTTTAGAGTAGGAAGAAGTACAGCTTTGTGGTGCTGTGGTAATTAACTGTTGGAACAGTAAACCTTTTCCAGTTGCCCTGTCCTCTTTGCACAGCACAACCCCAGGGGGACTTCCTGTTTCACCACCCAAACACCAAGCAGAAGCAACCGATCTGCCACCAGTGGAACCATTTCCGAGAAGAGCCCAGCCTGGATTCTTAGCACGAGAGAGTAAAAGCCAGTATGAGGGTTGCATGGTGCTTGTGCTGGGGATGCTCTTCCCCGTGACATCCATCAACGAGAGGTCCTCTCCTCTGCAGAGACGTTCTCCCAAGGCCATGCCAGGAGACCAGGAGCTCACACGTCCTGGGACTCTTCAGGTGACACAGGTGGGCCGTAGAGCCATGGCTCAGCTTTCACCTATGGGAGATAACCCATTACCCAGTGACTGAAGGAAGAATCTGTGATAAGAGCATGTGCCAAGGCCCAGTTTAGCAAACCGAATTTAACTGAGGCATCTAAACTAGATACTGCCTCATGCTGCCCTTCACATTTGCACTGAGCAGGGGTTTCATTTCTTGGTGAGAGCTGGCTTGTCACACATGCTGCGGAGAACAGTCTATGCTTTGCAGTGGTTTGCCTTAACCACCATAAGAAATGAGGAGGCAAGCTTGTTAAGTCCCCAGCAAATATGCAGTGCTATGCAGCGCGGTCTCGTCATGGAGAGTTTGCCCAAATTAGGGCCTAAGATCAGAGAACTGGGTATGTGATTCCCCCATCCCAAGTTGAACATTCAGATGAAGACGCCAACATCTTCATCTAAGCTGAACCGAGGAAGCATTGTTTCAGCTCATGCCTTCTCCCGATCCCTTTAAAATAGTTATTGCTGAATCAGCAGCCTGCGTTACAGAAATTGGCGCTCTTTCATACCATTCAAGGGCTGAACTGGTTTATAAATAGTCATCCAGGAGAGAACGAAAGCGTGGGCACTGGTTTCACACCGCAGCCCTCTGTGCCCAGTGCGGGGCTTGGCGACCAGCACTCACTGAGCTACAGCTGCACCAGCATGTCTTTTCACCCCTATCGCTTCTGCTTGCCGGTCGCTCCCCATCATTCCCCCTTCTGTCATCCTCTTCCCCTGTTATCCCCCTTCCTATGTCTTTTCCCATCATTTTTTCTCTTTTTTTTCTGGCTTCTCTGAGGCATTACACTCCCAGACCCTTTGGCCCAATGCATAGACCTTTGCAGCATTGCAAGGCACCACTGGTGTCGGTGGGGGACCCTCCCACCCCAAAAATGTGCCGTGGGGGAAGACAAGGAGCCGCTTGTGGGTACCTACAGGTTTTATTAGCAGTCCTGTGGTCACGTTCCTAATCCCATGGCGAGGGTGCTGGGGCACGGGGTGGTGTCACCCTGTCCACCCCGGTCTCCCTGGGGGCTGGGAGGGGAGGTCACTTGGTGAAGCCCTGGGTGTCACAGCGGGGTCCCTGCCACTTGCCGTAGCACTGGCAGATGAACTCCTCAGCCAGCTGGGAGATGTCATCACTAGAATCCAGGCTCTGGGCCACCAGCCAGGGCTTGCCAGCTTGCAGGTCGATGGTGAAGAGGAAGGGGTCGAGGTGGAGGAAGCCCTGCTTGTTCTCCTGGCGCACGCAGCGGCCCTGGCCGGAGCACAGGCTCTGACTGCACAGATCAGCGCTGGCTGTCACGTTGACTATGTAGTGGCCCAGGGGCCCCTCCACGTAGTCCTTCAGCCTGAGGCACATCTCCTGCAATGACATGCGGCATCACAGCCCTGTGTGGCCAGGGAATGAGGGGTCCCTGTGGGTAGTGGTGCGGTGCCACCCGCTGCACTCACCTTGGAGGTGCTGTAGTTGAGGCTGCCCCAGAGGATGATGCCGGCGGCACCCTGAGCAGCACTCTCCCCGATGGTGTTCATCAGGTCCTCCTGCACCCAAGGGGAGAGATGTTAACGTTGCCCAAAGCCCCTGTGCTGCCCCAGCAGAGCTAAAGACTCCCTGGCATCAACCCATCAGCCCAAGAGGTGCCCACCATCCCCACATCCCCATCACCTGGGAGAGGAAGTCGATGGTGCGGTCAAAGGCGATCTGGGAGTAGGGCAGGACAGGGATGCCATCGTTGAGGATGCCATGCTGGACGGCAAAAGCCTCGGCCACGCGGTGCCGGACATAGGCGAGCGCCTTGTTGGTGCCGTTGAAGCAGGGGGGCAGGTAGATGCTGGGGTAGAGTGCCCGGCTGCTCTCCCAGAGCCAGTAGAGCTCCCTGTTCCTCTGCTGCTCCACCACTGGGCATGCCCCAGTGTAGGGCAGGCTCTTGAAATCATTGTTGTAGCAGTCAGGGAAGCCATAGAAACACCAGTAGCCGTTGGAACGGAGGGTGTTCACCAGCTGCCGGGACTTATTACTG